TCCCTCCTGTAAAATCACTAATTGTAACATTGATATGCACTAAATCATCAAGAGAGTTGCCTATTTTATAAAGCATGCAAGTTGGGACGACATTGACTGTAGCTCCATTATCCACCAAGACACGGTTGATTGGAGTCCCATCCATGTGAGCATTGATATACAGCGACCTAATGTGTCTAGCCATCTTTTCTTCTGGTTTTTCAAACACTATTTTGTCAACCATGTCCTCTTCATCATCCTAGGTTGGAACAATGATTGCCTTTTCTTCTGTCTGTTTTGGGAACTCATAGACGGCTGGTTCCTCCTCTTTCTTGGCTTGAAAAACTAAGGGTAATGTCAACACCAGACATGACAAATTCATTGAGAATTCCCCAAAATGAATAGTGCCATCTTTTTTTTGATTCACCTCCAAGATTTCTAGACTGTTCTTGTGCTTCAAAAGTTGCTTTCAAAACTCCATCTAGACTCACAATGACAAATGCCACCTTTGGAGAAGTTGGAGATTGGTCATCCCCCTCAAGTAAAGTCTGGGTTATAGTTTCCTTTTTCTCTTTTCTCACCCACACCATGTTCCTTTTGGTAGGTTGGCGTTGTCTACGAGATGAACTTCCCTCAGCCTCCACCTACTTCTGTTGCCTTTTCGCTATTCAGCCTTCTTGTGCTGCAGTCTGCGCCTCAAGGTTCTAGGATTCTGGGCTGGAAACTTTAGATGATTGACTTTCTCCCATCGTTTGGAAGTTGACCTGAGTGGTGGTTTAACCATTCTTGGAGATCTAGTACCAACTGAGTGAGGTTTGGTACCTTCTAGGCTAAAGTTCCTAGTCACAATGATCCTTTCTTCCCTTGGAGCCTCTGCAGGTCTGACCTAACTATCTTGCTATGTTTGGATCTTTGCGCCTCAATAACCCACCTCAGGTCTTCAGCAGCAAGGTTCCTTTGAGCATAAGGCAAACTACGATTTCTGGCAACACTCCTCAGGTCTGCAATATTCATGCCAATAGACAAAGCTGGAAAAGGATCTGCATCTACTCCCATGGGTTTCCTTTGCTTTGTTTGGAAACTTTAGGATGCCCTTATCAATTTTTTCCTACAAAACATTACTAAAATAAGACAATTATTAGTAGAATACTTCCAAGAATTATGATGTTTGCAATAATCTCTAGCCCCGATTTCTGCCGCTGTTGGCATTTTGTGTCTTGGCGGTAACTTAATCAGACCACTCTTTTTAAGGTGGTCAAATATATCACTAGCCTTTGACACATCAAAAGTATATTGTTTTCTAACCTCACCAACATAATGTCTCACAGACGTCTCAGGCTAGTGAGTTGGTTTGACAAGGTCCAGACAAACAATAGGCTTGTCTGTAATCACCTCAGCCACATAAAGATCAAAATGAAGGTCACTGTAATAGGTTCCAAGTGATGTAGCTTTCTTTTGAACATCTTCTTTTAGCAGATTTTCATACATAGCCACTTTATATGACAAGTCATAGAAGTCTCGAAATTCCATCCCTTCAAATTTCTTTTAGAGCTCGATGTCTAGACCATTCTAAGCCAGCTTGACAAATTCCTATGCTGGTAGTGCAACTCGACATTTCAATCTAGCTCTCTAAAACCTAGCAAGGAACGCTTCAAATGACTCTCCAGGTTTTTGGGCTAACCTAGACAATTTTGCCATAGAGACTTCCGATTCACAACGATAGAATTGGGTATGAAACAAGTCCTCCATTTGCCTCTAAGAGTAGACTAAATTTTGAGGTTGACTGAGGTACCAAGTAAGGGTTGTCCCAATCAAAGAGCTAAGGAACAGTCTGAGTTTCAAGTTATCATCTCGAGATGCCTCTCCACACTGTATTGTGCAACGTCCAATATGTTCACTAATGGATTGACTGGCCTCACCAAAAAATAAAGTGAACTCAGGCACTTTAAAACCCCTTGGAAAAGGATTTTCATGATCAATGATGTCTGGATAAGGCTTCCTATAGGCTGGACGTACCAATGGCCTCAAGGTTGGTTTATAAGTCTCCTATACCAGATCTATTAGCTGATCTCTATTGAATAGTTGAGCTGGTTGATTTTGCAAATCGCGTTGTACCGATTGGGCTGGTGGAACTTGTGGCTAGAAAAAGTCCCTTAGATGGGGTTGATGATGAGGACCCACATTTCTCCTCCTACTTGGCGGAATATACCTGTGCTGAGGTTGATGGCCATGGTCTGCAACAGAAGCAACAACCTCCATTGGTTTATGTTGTCTTTGCCCTTCACCCATGAAGAAATTCTATTGTTGAATGTTAGGATGATGTTGATTCCCTTGCCCCCCGAGTGTTGGGATTAGGGCTTCTTGAATCTGTCTAGGCATTTCAACAGTTGGAGGAGGGATCTCAAGTCTGGGCTGTCGCACTAGCTCAACTACCTGATCTGAAATAGCCTGCAATGTTCTGTGGCTTTCTTCCCTAGTTTCTCGCACTACTCTACTGCCTTCTTTGAAAACCCATCTCAGTTCTTCCATATATTGTCTAATTGTCTCTTCCTAACGTTTGGAAGATTCTGCTTAACTCTCAACAAGTCTCTGTATAACCTGGTTCTGTTCTCTACATGCTAACTCCAGATGTTCAGTCATACCTCTAATTACATTACTTGATTCAGCAAAGTCACCCTCACGATCTGCTTTTTTCTCCTTAAATACTGGATTCCCATAGGACCGTTCTGCTAAAGGTGACACTAGGAGAAAAGTAATGGGATCATTTTCACCCTCAGAGTAGAGTGGACTATCATCTGCATGTTCAGCTTATGGTGGTTGAACCTCTTTGTCTCTGCTCTTTCTCGGTGGCATGGCTCTAGACGCGTTTGGATGTATAACTAATACACCCTGCTGGTGGTCCCACCAGGCGTGCCAACAAAGGATTGTTTCCCCAAATATCCTCAATCGGCCTTTACCACATGAGTTTGGATGTTAGGCGTGCCACTTGCTTTGTCTAAAAAAAGAAAACAGGATTTTCTAGACAACCTTTCTCCTTTCCAACAGTCGACCTCCAATGGGATGGGTAGAAAGAACATCTGTGAAATAAATTGTGCCTCAGGTGATGTTGCAAACAGAGGGTGGAGTTCTGCAAAATGGGTTACTAATTACCTTAGAAACCTCTAGGGACTTTACAACCACAAAAGTGTAATGAAAGCTACAAACCCTAAAATTAACACAAAATCCTAAGGCAACTAATCTAACATAAGATCAGTAAAAGAAAATAACATGCCATAAAAAAAATTCGCAAACAACAGAAAATGTAAAATCACAGACAACGACTTCTACTACACAATCCATAGCAATTAAATTTAATTACTTGCAAATTTAAAATAAAAAAATAACTAAACTACTTTGATAACTAAAACTAAAGGAGAATCTATGAAATAATTAAAGTCTGGAAACTTATAAAATTAAATCTAGAAATTGAAATTAGATAAATTGCATGTCTGGCTGTTGTGTAGAAATAAAAGAACAAAAGCAGAAAGCATTCAACCTATTTACATGAACAAATAACATAGTTGAATCCATAAAAGATAGAGGAACTAACCAAATCAACAGGGCAGACCTGTTTTGAAGGTTGAATTGCTTCCAAAAGCTTAAAAACTAACCTAAGTTGAAATTTTTGAGGAAAGATATGAACAAGGATGGAAAAGCCTAAACTAAGGCTATGAACAAGAACAGATCTTGCAAACTAATCTGGAAACTATGGCTGAAATCTGGAAAAAGTAGTCTGAAAGTTGAAAAATATGCTCTGTGCAGTGTGTGTGTATGGTAGGCCGTTTGAAACTAATTTCTTTTCCCTGTTTTTCTTTCCTTCAGTGCTGGGAAACTTTCTCCATGTTTCTCGGCCCTCTTCCACCATGATCAAGTAGTGGGGGTTCCATGTCTAGCAGTTATCCGATAATTTTATTTAATCTTATCTCCAACAAAACCTTAAAGATAACTACCTAAAAACTCTCAACTTCCTACTTTAAATCAAACTCAAAATGCTAGAACGCAACTTATCTTCTGCCACTTAAAATCCAACTTCCTTATAAATCCGTTTGGGCCATTGAATTCCAAGTTAGCCTAACCCAAATCAACCTAATCCAACTTAATGACTCCCATTAAAGATTGGGCTTACCCCTAACACATGGCTTTATCTCATTAATTTATTTTTAAGGTGTAAACAGGATCAGATATAGAATCAGATGTAGGATCAAATATAAGAACAAAACTAATCAACACACCACCACACCATCCAACCACCAACAAATAACATTATACTCAGTAAAGGAAAACTTTGTTTTTGCTTTTATTGAATTCCTTTTTTGGTTATGAGTAAGGAATTGCTTTATAAAATCATCTTTTATAAGTGAAAGAAAGACCCATAAACCAAAATTGAAATGGAGAGGAAAGATTGACATCAAATAAAGTTTCTAATTTGATGAAAATTTGTTTTTGCTTACTCGAATTGTTAACCGAATTTTGATCTAAACTAGATGATTGCAAGCCTTAAATCGATTTTCCTGAAATTGATCAAACAAGAAGAGAGCTAAAAGTTGGTCGATTGACACCTCTCTCCATGTTTTACACTTGAAATTGGTGAAATTTTATTTCTTCAATGTGATTTTATATGGTAAGTAAAACAAACATAGTTGCTGGTTATTCCAATTTTACCTAGAAGAAAAATCAAAACATTCCTAGAATCTTTTATGAAGATTTTGATGGATTAAATTTAAGGTTGTATAAGTCATTGAATAAATAAAAAAATAAAATCCACATATTCTTTTAGGTTCAACAACTACCTACCATAGTTGTTGAAAAACATAGATGTTGAAGAGTTTAACGACTATTAACTAATTTCTAATAACTAATAAAAAGTTTTATCCAAACATCTATGTTTAGCTGATTAAGGCCTAATAACTATTAGCTTCTTTAAAACCTCCAAGACGAACGGTGCCTAAGTTTCCATACACATACACTAAACACCGTATTAAATCAATTTTAAGCTTCTATGCCCCCAAACCTTATACTTTAAACCAAAAATACACACATATTAAATTGACATTAATCCTTGGAACACTTAACAAATACTAAACTTGAATCCTCAAATCTTTAAAG